TTATAGTTTATATTTTTAGCTATCAAATGTCAGCAAGGTATGGCCAGGATTGTGTGGTGGGCAGAAAAAAATCTCTGCTGTGACAGCCCCCCTTTAAATGTAGCTGCTTCTTTCTTCTCTTTTCTAACACTCTCAGGTTATAGGTGCATGAGCTCAAAGGAGAGGGAAAAATAGAAATCTCATGCAGCCCTCCGGGGGTCTCAGAAGTGAGTTGTTTCCTTCAGCCTAGGCAAAGTCCAAGTGAATCGCTCACTTTTTGTTCCAAAATACCACAGACCAATGACAACGGTGGCCCCAGGCACAGGCAGAGTTGGCGCTTGTTGCTGAGAAACCATGGGCAAGCCTCCGGTGGTCCCCAACTCAAGGAGAGCTCCTTCAAGACTCAAGCTTGTCACCAACAGGTCCCAGAATTCTGGCTAAAAGCAAGTATGCTATCTAGTTAACTTGGAGGCAGGGCACAAGGAAGTCCTGTCCTCTGTCATCAGGGAAGCAAGGGTGTAGGAAGTAAGGGTCCTGTCTGGCCATGGGGACACCAAAGAGCAACGGGACATCCCAGAAGTGGCCTCATGGAGTGGAAGAAGCTTAAACTGTGGAATCAAACAGCCCTGTTTTTCAATCCTGATTTTGCTTCTAACTCACGTCATAGGACCAACACTTTGAAAACATGTTTCTCTATCCATACCTTTCTATGTATGGATTCTACTTCATCCCAGCCTTTGGTCAGCCAAGAGAGGATTAGGACTTCTGAATGTAGATGGAATTAAAAGAAAGGCCGTTTGGTATTCAGCTTTTGACATTCCAGCTAGTATTTCCAACCAGAGTAGCTATTTCCTAAATTATTTGATCTCTCTCTCTTTCTCTCTCTCTCTCTCTCTCTCTCTCTCTCTCTCTCTCTCTCTCTCTGTGTGTGTGTGTGTGTGTGTGTGTGTGTGTGTGTGTGTGTGTGTCCACACCATCCAGCATCCTTGCCTGGAGGACTCAGTGCTCAGAGAACAGAACAAGCTGCCTTGTGCCCATCCAGGAGGCTCGGGCTCTGGGGTTGAAGGGTGGCCTGGCACAGGAGAGCCCCTTACTTCACCCGCAGGACTTGGAGACAGATGAGAGGAGAGGGGCCAGGACCCCATATCCTGCACTGCTTGGGTATCTTTCCAATGTTTGAAGCAGGCCAACATCTCCTTCTTGATGGAAGGAATTGAGGCCCCCAGAGCCTTCCCACCCATGAATGGCAGAATCCCTACTTCCCCGGTGTATGAAGTCACAGCAGCCCTGTCCCCACCCCACCCCAGTAATGAAGTGGCAAGGGCAGGGAGAGGCAGGTTGCTCAGAAACTGAGCACTTTTGTGTAAAAGAGATGGAGAGTGTCCCAGAGGGATTGTTTAGATTATGACATCAGAATGGGTTATAATCCAGAACCCACTGAATTAAAGTAGTTGTTTCTCTACTGCACAGGGCAAGGGGGCCTGGGAGGAGGACCAGAGCAGTTGAAGTCTCAATAGGGCACATTTCCAGTGTGTGTCCAGGAGCCATATGGTGTTTAGGGGCCCAGCTTAGTATGTGCTTGCATGGGGGGGGCAGGGGTGCCTGGGAATCCTAGTCTGGGTTTTCTACCTGCTAAGAGAGGCTGTCATAACTCCCATCTCAATAGCCACATGGTGTGATGAATGGGGTGGGTGCATAAGCTCCCCTGGGTCACCGCTGAAATCCAGCAAGTGCTGGAGAAGGGGAATGGTGAGGGGTGGGGGTTCAGCCGGTGACTGGGACCTCCCCCTTGGTGGGAGCAAGATACCCATCCTGCTGCAGAATGGTTAGAGGTGAGCCTTGGTTTCTACAGAGAAGCCACAAAATGACCCGCAACCCTCTGACATCTGTCCCTCACTGTGTGGGCTTTGAGCCCCTGAAGCCCTGGTGGCCTTCTGCTCTTGGTGCTGCACCCAGCTGCCAGCCAACCAGGGCACTGTGCCTGCTGGCAAGACCTTGCTGGAGGCTGGCTTAGCATCTTGGCTCCCTGGTCCCTGTACAAGCTCCATACCCTGGTAAGACTATATTATTTTCTTAGCTCAAATTGCCTTTTCCAAGTCATTATTTCTCTACAATGAGAAAACAATATTAGGTCTTATGTAATATCAACCTCAATGAATCTGGAAGTGATCATGGAATGGGTGGATTTTTTTTCCTCCTTTAAAAAAAGAGAAAAATAAATTTGAGATTGTTTGCATATGGCTGAGAATATTTATGAACTATTCCTCCTGCTTCCTCATCACATATTTTACCCAGTGCATTTGTGTGTGGTACAGAATAAATCTTGATGGGGAGCAGACACGGAGAGGGGAGAAAGCAGCTAAGGGATTGAGGATCCATCAAGCCCTGGGATGGGGAATGGGACTGGCAGGATTGGTCCTTTGCTGTGGTCCTGCTTTGTCTGGGGGTGTCTTTGAGGGAGAGAGCTTCAAACACAAACACGGAAGGAATTAGCATCTTTTGGTCACTCTAGTTTCTTTTAGGTCTGTTCCACTCTTACCAGAGCAGAAAGTTCAACATGAAGTTTCCTGACTGGGTGGAGGGGGAGGCCAGCAGCCAAAGATATCATTCACTGGGCTCCCAGCTTGAGCCCAGGGCTGAGGGATGAGTGGGCAGGTGGGGGGGGGCCTCTGGCAGAGAATGTGTGGGCATTGCCCCATGTCACTGGATGGCAATGTGTTAGTTGTGTTTTGGCATGTGGGCTTGGTATGCCTGTCAACAGGGCTTTTCACCGAGGAGGATCCCAGTGCAGCTTAAGGGACAGGGTGACAGACACACATTAAACAAGCAGACGGAGCCATGCTTTGGACTGTGCATTTGACCCCTCAGAGCTAGCGCAATTCTCTGCCACCCTTTGAAAGTTTCAGGAACTCACTGACGAAGAGTTGGGTAGCTGTCACAGAGCAGGGTGATGGCACATTAGGGAATGCAAGAGCAATGACACTGTCACATCTCCAGGGACAGGAAGGGCCCTGCATTAGTCACTCACCCTGTGTCATCAGAGTTAATCCTTATGGTGGTGATCAAATGAGGATTTAGGGATCCTAGGAACTTACCAAGGTCATCCCAGGTGGACCGGATTGGCAGGATTAGTGAGCTGAAGCCAACACAGTAGGAACAAATAAGGGATTTGAAAAATCTTGGAAGAGCCCCATGCAATGAAGGGGCCCTCACACTGGCACCTGGGCATAGCCACAGTGAGTCCCCCTGAGTGAAGTCAAAAGCTAAGCCCAGGAAAATGCTGGGCCCACGGCCCCTTCCTGGTGTCTCAGCCTCTCTTCTCTCTACTGCTATCACCACCACCCCACTTTCACATCCCAGACAAAATTATACTCATGCAAGGAGCACACAGAGGACATCCTCAGGACACTAACATGGTTTGTCCTGTGGCGTGCGACTCAGGGTAACAACCACACCCGAGTGAGATGCCTTCCACCTCCAGGGACCACAAGAGAGGACAATAAAAATGTGTCCCAGAATGAGCCACTGCCCCAGTCACAACTTTAGGCTATGTTACCAACTTTCATAGCCACTCCCAGCCCACTGACCTGGGCAGAGAGGAATACTGTGGTCCCCGGGTCATCTGTGGCCCAGGGTCATTGGAATTAGAATTTGCTCTGTCTCCTTTTCCTTCTCTCTCTTCACATCCATGGGATGAGGTCAGCTGGCCAAATTTGACAAGTACTCCACTTAATCTTTCTATTATAGCCGAGATTTTGCCATTGTCTTTGTAGCACAATGTGTATTGTCTAGCCTGGTACCACCCTCGCCCAGACCGCCTGCTTGGCCCATTGCAGTCTAGACAATCACTCAGGACGTGCAGCATTTTCCCAGGCCGCTCGCTGTGTTCTCTCAAACTGGGAACACAAAGCAGATGAGGCTGTGCACAGTCAGTGCCACCCCAGGGGGAAGGAAGCATTGAGAAACCATGGCCTGCCCCTGGCCGGCTTAAAACATTTCAGCAAGGGTTCAATGGATTCATCTCAGGCTGGTGTTGTTCCATTGTCTCCAACAAAAGGCAGCCACAGAAAGACAGACGTGGCTGTGACAAGTGGCTATGGAAGACACATCTGGGGAGATTGAGCCTGAGTGCAGTCTTCCTTAGAGTGACACCCCCTCACCTCTGCTGGCCCGCAACCCCAAGGCTGATCCTTGAGCTCAGCCAGAGCCTGGGGACACAGCAATCAGGGACGAGGCTGCTGGCAGAGGTGCAGGTGCTACAAAGGGAAGGTTCCGGGTCAGAGTTTAGTATTGGAATGGACCCTGTGGTTCCTGGTGCATGGACTTGGCTTGCTGGTGACAACCCACCCTGTTATCACCTTACAGCTGTTTAGCTCCTGTTTCTAAATGAATTGTTTGATAATGATTGCGATGAGACTTTGACAGTCTCCTGTCACACTGTCCTCCTGTGGACATTCATTCTTTGGGCTCCATCCCCAACAAGTCTCCCAGAAGCTGGGAATACACATTTATGGTGACACTGCTACCTCCTGCACTGGCCCGGTCACTGAAGACAGTTCTGGGTTGTAGCAATGGGTCCTAGATAGCACCACCACCACGTTGCCTCTCAGGTGCTTTGGGCTTTGCCAAGGCTGGCACCCAGCAGGGCTTCCATTGTTTCTACTACTGGTGTTTCCTGCCACTCCAGGGTTGGGTTAACCCTGGAGGACACTTATGCAGGACCTGGTCCTATCTCTGTTCCAGAACATCTAAGCACTTCTATTGTTTAATTACCCTTTTTTTCTATACAGTTAACATGCAGGCTTTTTGTAGAATGTATACAAAATGTAGAGAAGCAAACTAATGTAAAAGTTGGGTAACATTACTGCACCTGCCTGAGATAAACACTATAAACACGCAATCGGAATTCCAAGGGCTGTGTTTCTGTATTTTGTACCAGGATTAGCATGTGTTGATTGCATGCTGCAGGTAAGTATATTCGGGCATGGGACTGAGTTCCCTTCCTTTGCTCTTCCCACCAGCCCTGGAGCGGGGCCTGACCAAGGCCCTGAGAAAGCTGGATGACTACCTGAGCACTCCCCTGCCTGAGGAGATCGACAGTCACACAGGCGGGGATGACGACAAGGGGTCACGGCGCAAGTTCCTGGATGGGGATGAGCTGACCCTGGCAGACTGCAACTTGCTGCCCAAGCTCCATGTGGTCAAGGTAAGAGAGCTCAGGCTGAAGGGGCTGCTGGAGGCCACCATGGCTGAGTCGGGGTGGTTGTCTAGAGCTGGGAGCCACTGCTGGTGGGTTGTTACTCTCTGGGAGCTTGTTTCTGTGTATTAAATGTGTGGATATTACTCACCTTAGAGCTGAACAGAGAAGATGTGGGGTAGAAATGCTGCATATTGTAGTGAGTGCTAGATGCAGTCAGTGTACCCCAAACACCTCTTGCTGGAGATGCCCCACCCAACACAGCCCATGTCTTCATTGATGCAGCTCCATGTCCCCATCCATGTCCTTGGTATACAGACTCTGCATCAGCTCCCTGGAGAGACACCGTCCTCTTCATCATGATCAGCTACACACTGGAGGCTGCACGGGCAGGGGCTGGGAACCTCCCTGACCATTGGTGATATGGTGCAAACCTATATGACTATTGGGGAGTCAGAAAGAAGGAAATGCAAAAACAATCTCCAGATCCAAACTGCTCAGTTTTCCTCTGTATCTCGGACAGTTTCTGTGCAGGGTGGTAGCACATTTCTTGGAGATGGGGAGCCCCGTGCTGAATGAGCCAGCGTTACCATTCAGTACAGCTCTGATTATTGCAATGCCCTTCCTTGTGGGGTCCCACGGTGTCCCCTGTTGCCTCTCCATCTTCAGGAGCAGCACAGGACACTTTCACCCTCCTTCACCTCTCTGAAGACAGCAGTTGTGGCCAGAGCTTCCAAAGGAGCGTGACTGCCACACCCCTCTTTGATGATACCCAGTTTCTTGCTGTCCTTCTCCAAGAAGAACCAGACACCACCGTCCATGGGTGGGCTTGTGCCTACCGTCCTGGCTACAGTCTCAATCTGCACATGCAGCTTCTTCTTCTCCCAGAGCCCAACCAGACTTGGCCAAAATCACACAGCCAGGTGTTGCGTGCACTGGTGTTGCTGGCCTCAGTCAGAGACAGGAACTCGTGGTTGAGCAAACACAATCATTAAAATGACTCGTTGGGCCCAGAACCAAGCCGATGGTCACTTGTAGGAGTAACCAAGTGAGGTCACTTTGAAGTTATTAACTAGCATGCAGCCCACTCTCCAGAGTGTGCTTTTTTCTCCCTTTTCTCAGGGATACGTTGGGCCCTAGGGATGTGACTTTTCTCATGCTGGAGGGAAGAGTGCAGATTACATCTCTCCTTGCCTCCTTTTCCCTTTCCCCTTCCTCCTCGCACTGACACTTGTTAACCATCCACTTAAGAATCACTGGTTGAATTAGGCAAGCAAATCATTCTCCCAGTCTGGTGTACCAGCCTGTGATTCCTCCGGCTCCTTCCAGCCACAAATGGCCAAGCAAATCCCTGTCCTTGGAGGACTTCAGTAGACATCTCCTTGGAGCCTCAGGACCAGATGACGACGTCCGGGAGGGAGGGTGCTGGGCCTTGCTGCTGTCACCTCGCATTTTTGCTGATCCCGCTTATCAGATCCAGGACCTGGCAAACCTCTCCGTGCACAAGAGCAGAGGGGGAGCTGAGCAGCCTCCAGCTTGGCCTCAGACGCCAAAACTTAATCTGGGCTGTAGGAGCTAACTGTTTTCATATGAAAGAGCAAATTCAGAACATGAGCACGGCTGTCCCCTGCGCATCACAGCTGCGTGTGTGCACCCTCGCCTGACTGTGTTTCAGGTCCAGCTCTGGCCAAGGACCCGATTGACCCTGACCCAGTGCATAGCAAGTATCAAGCATGATAAGGCCTGTCCTAGCGCACTACAGTGGCAGCGTCCCCTTGAAACCAACAGGAAGAGAGACCCAAATACAAACACAAATGAATGGATTCATAGTACTTCCTCACTTTTCAAGCTATAAGTCTGTCCTTCAAGAATCTGGGTACTTAGCCATCATGCACGAGGCCCTGGGTGTGATCCCCAGCACTGAAAAAACAAAAGCTCTAAAAATAAAATATCTGCATGAACACATTTAAGGCTTCAACCCATGAAGAACATCTTCTATTGGACTGTTCATTTTCTGTGGGTCTGTCCATACCTAGCCCAGTGCTTCGCATCCCAGGACCGTGGCTTACCCAAGGGTTTGCCCTAGGAGGAAGGCAGTGGCCTCTCAAAGCCATGGGCAAACAAGGGGAGCCACTTCTCACAGTGACCACAGGAAGGCTGTAGGGACTGGCATGGATGTGACTTCCATTCCTTCTCATCCGGGGTGACCAGCACTTGTAACAGAACTCTCTGTCACCTTTGATCTGGCCTCTCCTACACTGGACAGGCATTGTGGGGACTTCCTTGGCCACCGACATCACTCATTTTAACTGCAAGGAATTCTCATAAAAAATTCCTATGGAGAAAAGAATGGAAAAGACAAGGTTTCACCTTCCAGGCAGCTACTACCCATTGTAATAGCTATAAATGTGCGACATGATGGGTTCAGTGTAACAGTCTGTCTTCAGTTTTCTAGCCCATTGGATCTTCCTGGGCAGCATCTTTTTCAGCAGCTTTATAGGTGCCATTGTACTTATTTATGTACAGTCAAGCATTTACGCACCCATTCATACATCACTGGCCATTGACACTGTACACTGTTCTGTGCTTTCTAGGATGCTGTGATCCTAGCAGTGTAGCTGAACGCTTTGTCCACATCCATAATTATTGCCTAAAGAAAACTCCCTACATGTAGAACAAGTAGGCAGAAGGGCAAATCATATTTATGTAAGAAATAGGTAAAACATGGAGATATCCTTGTCTCTTGCACTGCAAATGTTTTGGGGCTGGCCCATTGCACTGCACATGGGTCCTGTTGCTGTGGCCATGCCCTGTGCCATACCCTGGAAACCTCCTGAGGTTGACCTTCCTCCTTTACCTGTCTCTGTCCCATCTCTCTGCTCAGATTGTGGCCAAGAAATACCGCAACTATGACTTCCCTGCTGAGATGACAGGCCTATGGCGGTACCTCAAGAATGCCTACGCCCGGGATGAATTCACCAACACCTGCGCAGCCGACAGCGAGATCGAGCTGGCCTACGCTGATGTCGCCAAGCGCCTCAGCCGGCCCTGAGCACAGCCACCATCCATCTGATGTGGAGGACACTGCTTCCCCGACAAAACTCGGTTTTACAGGCTTCGCAATTCCGCTTCCCCACTGACTCGGGGAACTTTTTATCAGGTTGTTCTTGCTGGTTCCCCAGAACTTCAGCCTGCTAGCTTTGAAGGTTAGCGCGTCTTCTGTCTGGACACGCGTGAAGCTGGTACACAGGGAGGAAACAGATGCCTCTGCACTTGCCAGTAGAGTCTGGGTTAGTGGATTTGGGGTCAGTCTCGGGAGCCCCCTATGGGTGGTCTCAGTCCTGTCTGCCAGCCTCCTAACATCTCTCAGATGCTTTAGCAAGTGCAAGACCAGCTCCTCCTTGTAGAATCTGCAAGAACAAGGACCCACACTGCTCTCGTTAGAATGAGTCTGCACCTTGCTAGGGGATGCAGAGAGGCTGGGGGGACTGAGCTGGCATGGCTCTGAGCATCCCGCACATGTACTTGCTGTCACTCCTGCAAATGCTCCAAAACCAGACTACAAACTCCCTCCAGACACACTAGCAATTCTTGACCTTGGCTGCCCTTGGCTTTTTCCTGCCTAGGCATGGCCAAGAAGGAAGCTGGTGTGCAATTCCAAACTGCAGGACTGCGATGGGGAGCAGGGGAGCAGTGTTGGTGCCAAAAGGCCCAGGGTTCTACAGCCATGGGTCTGCGTGCTTAGGAGTGGTTGTGCAGTGAGATTGCTTACCCGGCTGGACTGCACATCAGTAAGCAGCTTCCAGTTCATGCTGGGGTGCAGGAGGGGGGATGGGTGGGAACCAAGGGGTCTTTTATGAGGCTCAATGCCCCCTGGTCAATGTCAAACTGCCTCTTCTCTCAGAATCTAAGCCTTGGACTGCTGGTATCACTAACTACCAACTTGATAGCAAATACCTAGATCTGGCCAAAATGTCTTTCTGGTCTCTCTAAGCTGCCCCTGGCCATGGGTCCACTGGTTGATGTTCCCTGGGATTCCCTGGTGGCCTGGGACAGGTGGAGGCATGTGGAGGAGTTGAAATGATGGTGGGATATCTTAGCAGAAAGCCATGAACCTTCCTGACCCAGAAACCATGTAGTTTAGAAGAAAAATAGGTACCCATTTGGGTTAACCTTCCAACTGCTGGATGAAAAGGGCAATAATATTCTCACTCATTGTCTCTGCGTCCTTTCCCCTGCCTGTCACCTCCTGGTGCACTGGATATCTGCACAAAGGAAATGGAGAGAAATGAATTTAGCCTCTGCTCCTCTTTAGGGGAATGCCATAAAAAAGTATCTCCCCATGGCCATACATCCAGCAACCCTCCCCTCTGTACTCCTGGAGGATGCCAAGGATCCTCCTGCTCTAGGGAAAAGCCCACTGCTGCAGAGAAAGCATGACCAGTTCCTTCACAGAGAAATACCAATGATTCTAACCCACACTCGCATCCAAACACTACCAAGGAATCTCCAAACAGGCAAGCAAGGGTGAGAAGCAGGGGCTCTATTCCTACCTACCCATGAGGACACCAGGACATCACATGAGTCCATTGCTGTCCCCCACCAAAAGGCCCCCCTGCACCCCTGACAATGTCTGAAAAGAGGAGCTAGAAGCTGGCTGAGGCACTGTAGGGAGAAGCCCCATACCAGCCTTGGAATGACGGATCAATGATCCTGAAGGCCTTCTAAGCAGAGTGAGCGTCTAGCTCATCAGAACCTCTCCTGAATGTACAGTGTGGTGAGATGACTTCCAAGTGGACCAGGTCCTGGAGATCAACCTCATGCTTGGAGCCTATAAAACCTAAAAACAAACAAGTCAATGTTAACCTTGGGTGCTCCTCCTGGGGTTGCGTTAGCTCACATAAATAACAGTGTTAGGCACAGCAGGGCAGGGTGCTACAGATTCATTATAACCCTTCTAAAGGTGGGCAGAAGTCATGGAAGGAAGACTCTTCCAGGTACTTGATTCAGAAATACGTTTTTATTTCAACTGTAGGTTACCACATAATGCAACTAATCGACTACTGATTAGAGATGTCTTATGGCCAGACTCATTGCAGTATATAAAATAACAGTAGCATTAATAATATTAATAATATTAATTGCTAATTTTTTTTCAAAAGATACTTTTTTTCCAACCTCTGGTCCCTCTGGCCATTGGCCTTCTCCTTGCCCCGTGGCTTCCTCTGTATGGTGAGGCCATGCCTCCCAGGGACCGCTTGGGACTGCTGATGGCTTTGCGCCCAGACTGTGCAGCTCAGAATCTTGGGTGCAGACAGTCTTGGGGATTGGTCTTCAAAGGATCCTTGTTTCTGAGAACACACATTTGGTAGTACAGAAAGGAGGTTATCTGTGTTGAAATCCTATTTTATTTTGCATTTTTCTCTCCTTTGACTTTCACACCACCAATTTTTTTGTAAGTTGGTTAGCAAAAGACAGAAGCAGAAAACTAGAGTCAAAGAGCATGGCTGAGGTGAATTCATCATTTGTTCAGGACTGCCTAGCTCTGCATGTGGCAGGAGAGGTATTGTGTTCATTTTTAATACTCCTGCAAGATGAGCCAGGTACATATAGTCCTGATTGATCCAGAGCACAGTTCCTTTATCTCCTGACCAAGAAAGCCAAATGTCAGGCAAATTTAGAACCACAGACAGGAGTACAAGTCACTGGCAGCAGGCAAATCGACAAAAATGGGGGTGATATGACAGCCTGCTTGGCCACACAATCCCAAGCAAGTTCAACTTCGGGAAGGGCACCCCTCAGGATTTCCTCATCAAACTGCTGGTGCCACAGGGGAACTTGGTCTTCTCAACACAAAGCCAATACCAGAAGTATCTTCCAGCACTTCTCAGTTGGAAAAATGCTACTTGATGGTTACTCTGCAGTCAGACAATACCAAGTGACTTAGCATGGTGACAAGAAGGAGCCCACAGACCTGGATGATCTAAGACCCCAGGAATCAGCAAGCCTAAACACAGAATTCGGAAAGAAGCAGAGGCAGGAAAGTCTCTCTGGCAAGAACGTGCCATCACTATGACACTCTGTGTTTAGAAGCAGCAGGTATGCGGTAGGTACTTCTGGGTTCACCTCCACTCGCAGTGGCCAGGGGCCAGCTCAACAAGATGCTGGTGTTGTTGCTTGGAAACTCATGGTTAGAACTAAGCTCAGTGATTCTCAAGGGGTCATTTTCTTATGTTCCTTATGATATTAAGAAAGCATTAGAAAAACGTAGGCAGTCAGTTCTGATGTCTGCAGAACATGAGCGATGTTTTCACTGGCTCTCTAGCCCCTCTGCCCTCCAGCCTGGGCCTCATGTCTGCAGCTGCCCACCATTCAGATCACACGGCCCGGGTACCCTCATGAATACGCTCTCTTCTCCCTTCACCCCATCTCTCTCCAGCTTAGTTGTGGATACCAAGTCTCGTAATCAGATATGATCCAAACTGCACGCAATCTTACTTAATGTTCCTTTAATAAATCTATCCAACTCCCTCTGCTAACCAAAAATAAATAAAATGTTGCCTCTCCATGAGGTTGAGGCTAATCTGTATTTCTATGAATGCAATCTGGTTTTGGCAAAACACAGTTTTAAGGATCCAGTAGTCTAAGGCATTCTGTATATAACTAGAAATTTCATAATATTAACTGTGCATATATTTAAAATATCAAATACCCAGCTGATGTTTGAATTTGTCCTTTTTTTCTGGCCACTTAGTTGTATCATTTTCTAAGCTGGGGCATTTACTAATTTAGTAAAAGATGCCTAGCTTTTATAAAAGAACAAGCATTCGTTTAATAAAGACACTCTGAATGATGGTTACTTGATTTTCCAGAGACCTTTAACTGTGGTGATAAAATAACAGGCCTTGCTTTCAAGCCTTAATAAATGTAAAATGACTTTTAATGAAGATAGAGCTGAGTGCTTTCCTCATGACTCTGGAGCAATCATGAATTTGTTTCCTGGTCTTGATTGGAATTGACTGATTTCAAATAAAATTGGTTTATTTTCAAATATTACAAACATGATCATCAGACTTTTGTGTGTGCGTGTGCATGTATGTGTGTGTGTGTGTGTGTGTGCACCAGGGATCAAATTTACAACCTCACACTTGCCAAACGGGCGCTTATGCTGCTGAGCTAAATCCCCAGATTTCTTATTTAAGGTGGGAATTTCCTTTGCTATTTTAAATGACAAGTCTGAATAGTCTTTGCAAATAAAATGTATTACTTTCCCATTATAAATATGTTTATTCTTCTTAAAAATACAAAAAATTAGGGATAAGAAAGGAAAAAGAAAAAGGGATGGGAACCAACCATCCAAACACCACTTGAAGCAGAGTTAAAACTTCTTCCATAGGACATGGTGGCACATTAAGGATACCCCTTGTGCCTCTCAGTTGCTGTCTGTGTTGCCATCCTAGAGGGCAAGGCTGACATAGTCTACACTCTCAGATATCGGTGCCCTTGCACCTCAGGGCCTCGAGTTGCCTGAGGGCCCTTATGTTCCACTGCAGTTGATGTTGGGGTGGGACCTACTCTGAGCGCTGATGCTGCTGCTCCTCCTGCATCCTCCACACAGAACGGGAAGGGATGACAGGTCCCTGTGGGAGGGCAACCTGGATGATGCTTCTCACCATCCCGCTGTCCCTCATCCTCCACAGAGCTCTGATGAAATGAAGAGACACCTCTCTCTTCCTCACTGCCCCCACCAGGCCCCCACACTGCCACCATCCTGTCACTCAGAGAGCAGAGACTCCACTCCTAGGAGGTCATGAGTGCTCCATCCTTGATTTCAGAGCAGGTGCCTGGCCAAGTCCAGCCCAGTGCTATATGGGCAGATTGCCCAAGGCTTCCGGGAAAGAGTCCCTGGTCCCTACCAAAGCAATCCCTTGAGTCCTGGCCTCTGTGCTGTCTCTGGGTGTGGTGTGAAGCCTGGATATGTTGCCACCTCTGGGGACCATAAGGACAAACCTAGAGGTAAGGTGAACCCAGGCCCTCCATGACAGCAAGACGTAGGGAAAAAATGCTTCCTAGAGGAGACAAGGAGCCACAGGATAGGCAAAGCCTCTCAGATCAGTCCTAAGTCTGCACTGTCTGTTCCCTTATCCTCACAAGATTGTTGGAGGGTGAGATCCCCCCCAACATACACACACATACACAAGTGGCCAAAGGTACCCCATGTGGTAAAGTGGCCAGGTTTGTTGTCACCAGCAGTTGCAATGACCCATACTTCATTGTTTGAAGGCCAGTTCTGCTCTGCAGCTGACCCAGGGATGAAAGCACCAGAGACTTTGTCTCTCTGTGTCTTGGTTTCCTTTAACTGTATAATGAAGAAACCAAGAGCCACATGATAGTGAGGAGGGGGTCTGACACTGACCCCTGGCACTGCTCCTTCTAGAGCAGCCATTAAAGGTAACCTTGAACTAAAAGCCTTGGGAACATTCTACCCTAAGGAGTGAGGGAAGTCTGTTTTCACGTCCAGTTGCTAGGACCCCTGAGTCCCTAATACATCCGAGCTTGTGGGAAAGACCTGGAGGGTCAGACCAGGGAAACACAGCACTGAAAATGAGAAGTGGAACTCTGACCCTGGGTCTGTCACTGACTGACTATGACATTTGGCAAAGGCTTCCCAGAGGCTCTGGTTTCCAGAAAGCAGTTACGAAGAGCAAATAAGGTGATGATCCAACCATTCCAGCGTTCAGTCTACTGGAGGGTAGAGCACTCCGTGGTCCCTGGGATAAGTTTTAGGGTTGACCAGGAGTGATTCGATACTACTCATCTCCGCTCTCTCTACCCGATGCTTGAAGTCTGTATTATGCCTCTAACCAGATCCTGAGGGCCTGCAGTGGGGCTCAGCAAGCTGCAGGCAGATGCAGATGCAAACCAGGTCCCACTTTTGATAAAACAAAATTAGCCGTGATTACCTTCCCAGACTTTTTCAGAAAGGAATAAATTTGAATTTTTTTTAAACAAAGAGGACCAATCTAATAAAATCAACTTTTCTTAGTCAACAAGTTTGTCTAGCAGTCTCTTTTGGAATTTTCAGCCAACATGCTATACGCTGTTTTATAATGGAATAAAAATTCATTTATATATCATGAAAATCTTGGCCTATACCATTATTCTTCAGTCTCACAATTCATTTAACCAGTATCCATTCTTTGGCTCTCAAGGATTTTCTAGTTTTCTTACTCTTAAAATTGATGTTATAATGCAGTATCAGTAAGTGAGATTCTTCCTTTTCCCCTCGGAATATGCTAAGCCTAAAGGCATGCACTGTACATCTCCAGGCTTCTGATATGTATTATTAACTTTGCCTGAATTCCTCATTAGCCAAATATGAGCAGGCTTCCCTTCTCACAGCATCCCTAGCATGGGGTTCTGTAGTTTTTCAATTCTTTCAGTTTGACAAGTGAGATAAACCTCATGGTGGTCTCCTTGGTTATCCAGTTGTTGAAGGACTTTCCCAAACACACACGTCTACGTTCTTTGCTGTATTTAGTTGCTCTCTCTCTCCTGGAAATAAGTGGACTAGTTTCCTCCGGAAATGTATCTACTGCATCTCCCATTATCATGGAGTGTTTTGGCATGAACTGCTTCCCATAGCAGCCATTGTTTTCCTGTGGACTTCCTGGTGTGTTTTGAAGCAGAGGACAAAACATGAAACTGTCTCTTTTACTGAAACATGAAAAACTGAAAAAAAAAAATCCTTACTGTGGGTAACAAAAGGGTTACCATCCTAGACCCGAACTAATGGGTACTGTGCCAGCATGGTTTCAAGGGCATTGGGAACATATTTGGGGAAAGGTGGGGAGGGTGGTAAGGGGGCTGGTCTCTCTGCTTTCTGGCTTATACCTTTAGAAACACAAATATTGGGCTTGTGATGAACTGTATTCTACCTGGAAGCTCCCCCAGAAATTCTCACGATTCATGAAGCTCTTGGTGTACTGAGTGAGTTCAGACCTATCCCATAGGGATGCTGAGTAGGAAGGAGTCAAGAGAAAGATGGAGAGTTATCCAGCCCAGTGCTGGGATTCAGAGAAGTGTGATATAGGAAAAGTGAAGCAAGGAAGCCCATAAAAATCCGAGTCTATATTTCTAGCATAAATGGTCTCCAAAGTACTATGGCGTCTAAAATAATACCCAACAGACAGGCAAATCTCCAGCCTTAAATCCTAGATTCATTAATGATGGAAGGATTTTATTCAGCTGGAACCAGAGGACTTTGGAGAAATGGTGGTCTCCAATCTTTCCTGGGGGTCCACCACATTCTTACACATTGCACAGCTCTGTGAGCCCCCTATCTTAACAGACTGTCAGTATTTCTTAGATTCTCCAAACACCAACCAAGATGGTCCTGACTCTCTGGCCCTTAATGCATCAAGATGCTGTGTAACTTGAAAACAAAAACTAGGAGGGAGGTGTTGAGTGCAAAGGATCATGAGACTCTGACTGAACTGCTACATAATAAAGACCGCAGCAGGGCCAAGTTCAACATCCAAGAGAGACACAGAGCCCAAGAGCTATCCTGTGGTTATTTAATTCTAGAAAAGGGAGCTATGTCAGAGTGCTGAGGAGGATAATGAAAGGAGCAGTTAAAATGTAAACTGCCCACTGGAGACTCTTTTAAAATGCGTTTTTGGAGTACCTTACAGGGAAATCCAAAGTCAATAATAAAAGGCCCCATAAATGCATCAAGGCAGAAAGCCAACCAGATAATCAGGACGACCACTTGACCCAGGGCTGCCCTGGGAGATGAAATGAGAGAAAACATGGAGGGGCAAAGGCTTTTCTTTTGGGCTCTGTAAAGATGAAGAAAGGCAACAGGGATATTTTCAATTCCTTTTGAAAGGATGCTGTTCATAAACATGGACCCAAACACAAACAGACCTGATGGGTTGCAAACCATAATGACAGCCAAAAGTGTCCTGGGAGTGTAGGCACTGGAGAAAATACACAGCTGCAAGAACGAGGGGAACAAGCACCCCTAACAGTGACAGTCAGGTGTCACTATACAGGAAAAAATGCGCCCAAAGTGCACCTGCAGACTGGTGAATTCCAAACTGTCCTTAGCAGCTGAAGCTTTGATATTCTCTGGCATATGTCCATTGTGACCAAAGCCAGCAGCCCTGTGCTGTGATTCCTGCAATAACCTCAGCCATGACACAGAAAAATCTAACCTCTCCTGGTCACTCTGACCTACAGATCCAATTGCCACACTAGGAGGAGGAAGGTTCCTGGTGTCCATAGCCACCATAGTGAGTCCAACCTCAGATCCCCACATGATAATGGCACATTTATACTCTCTCACGCTTACCCTCATCTCTGCAATGCACTGTTTTATTTGCAGATGTGATGTGGGGTGCATGGGTGCAGGGCAGGTTGTTCATGCTCATAAGCCTGCAAAGATCTAGCATTTTAACCAGAAGACCCATAATAAGGCTAAAACAGAAAACAGTCTTCCTCAGACAGAGAGGCAGAGGCTGCACTGTGACCAAAGCCAAAGCAGTGAGAAATGTTGTGAGCAGCCCAACATACAGGATGGGAACCAGGCAGCACACTCTACGGGAAACCCTGAAACAGCAAAAATTAAAATATACCGTATAAGTTGCTGTACCTTTCAGTCTGCTCTGCCTAGGTACATGAAAAACAAACTTAGCCCTGTTTATGTTACAGTGTACCCCTTCCATTGTGTAGATGTGCTTCTATTTATTTATAAGTGTTTTTAGTCGATAAAGAAAATCATGTACCACATAAAAGTCATCCAATTCAAAAGTGTCACAATGAAAAGTAGACAATTTTCCCTCCCAGACAAATTCTCACATTCATCCCAGAGGTCACCGCTATGAACCCAGTATTCTTACCCAGTATTTATTTCCAGAAAGTTTCCATGCACATCCACACACTCAGATATAAACAACAGGAACTAGGCATGTTCATTTTCTGTAATAATATAGGTTAAGTAGAGGAACATTTAAGATGTGTCATGATTATTTTATCAGAAATGGGAGCACCATGTTT